GCGGGTTTCAATGGATCCAGCACCATCTCATCCTGCCACTGGGATGGAGGGAGCTGCACATGCCTGGAATTGGAGCTGAGAGATTCCCTAAGGAACCACAGCAGTGCCCAGCTCAGCACTGAGCTATCTGCGGGATTGTCATTTTGGGGAGTGATGTAAAGCACAAAATAAGCAAAGGTTTGTGGTGTTTTAAGAGGAGCAAAGTCTCCCTCCAAAGCTGGCACCTAAAGGCAGGGAGACAAGGATCCCCATTGCCAAAGCAGCTCCTGAAACCAGTGCTGGGCGCAAAAGGGAAAGGAAAAGCTCTAAAATAAACCAGGAGCTGGAGGACAGGGTTGCTACAGGACTGTCCTGTGCATTTCTGAGCTGTCTGGTCCCTCTACACCTCCCTCCAAGGAGGGGCAGGAGATGGATCAGCACCTCCTTCCCAGAGCCAAACTGGGAGAGGACACCGAGGTGAAGGCATCCCTGCCCTCACCCCAATTCAGGAAGGAAACCCCCTTCTCCCAGCTCCTCCCGACCCCTTCACACGCTTCCGGCCTCCTTAACCTCCTGCATCTCCGACAGCAGTGCTTTATAAGGCCAAAAAGCAAAAAACAAATAAAAATCCATGCGCCACTCCTGCAATCCACTTTTGGGAGCACACTTCCAGGTCAATCGACAGCCCCAGCAATGAGCTGAGCTCTGGCAGCAGCAAGGAAGGCTCCTTCCCATTTTCCTGGTTTCTTGTCTGAAAAGGAAGGGAAGGATTTCTAATTCATGCAAGAGCTGAGAGGTGAGAGGATGTGCTTTGCTAATTCTAAAGCCTCCTTTCCGTGTTATTCCCAAATATTGTGACTGCAAGCTCGCATTTATCACGCACATTTTGATGGGGTAAATAATGAAAGAGCCTCCAAGCCTCTAATTTGATGCTGATTGCAATTCCCAGTTCCAAAGACAGCAAGAAAACAGGAATAGAAACTAAACCAGTAAAAGAGAAACACGCCCTTCTCCATTTCTAACTTTAAGAACCTCAATATTAAAGGGAAAAAAAAAAATCAAAATAAACTCTCAACACAGCTTCATATTTGCTCAAATAAGCATTTTTCAACGTAAGTACCCAAAGTGCTTTTAGGTGCAGGGCACTGGGGTCAGGGTAGGACATGTCTTGTAGGACAACATGTTTTAGTGATTTGCAACCAACAAGCAGACCCTCCTCCCCAGCAGGAAAAATAACTGAGCACCTAATTGCAAAACAATATCTTAATTGTCAATTTGAATCTAGGTTTCCTACTCAGATTTAAATCTGGCTGCTTTTTTTTTTTTTTTTCAAATTGCATTGATTTAACTCAATCAGCCCTGCCCGAAGGCCATCTTTCCTGCATGCTCTGAGCATACCAAGCAAGTTTCAACCAATTAGATAAATCACTGAATCTCACAACTTCCTAGCAGCGACGTATCAAGCCATGCACAAGCCCTAATTATTCTTTTAAATACGTCTTATCCCGAAAACTTCACAAAAATAAGCAGCTCGGGGGAATTTCACCTTTTTTTTTTTTTAACCTAGGGCACATGATGGCCAGCTGAATTCTGCAGGAGACCTGCATGGTCGTTGCAAAGCCCACTGTTTAAATGTGTTTATTATTCCCCGTGCTGATGGGAATAACGCTGCTGCACGAGTTTTATTCATTTATTCATTTTTCTCTGTGTGTGCGTGTGTGTGTGTGTACACCCACACCCACACTGCAGCCCCGAGGTGTTACACTCCAGCACGGCAAGGAAAAGCAGGGAATTCTGATGGACTCACCCCCAGGAAAATCCTGAATAATGGAAGTTTCTAGCACAAACAGCTTCCCAGGGACCCCCGAGCACAGTCCCCCATCAGCAGCAGTGGAAATATGCTCCTGTGACACTGCACAGATTGTTCAAAGATTCCCATGACAGGCAGAGGATTAAAAAGCAATTCCCTGCCTCTCATATTTCACATGCAAAGCCGTCTCTGGGAAAGGCAGGCAGGAAAAGATGGATCTCCCCGAACTCAAAAATGTGGGTATTCCATTAAAAAACCCCTCGCTGTGGTACCTTAAAAACGGCAGCACCAAAGCTGGAACTACCCCGTGGGGACACACACAGCACCGCAAACCCGACCCAGCTTTGTATTCCCAAAAAAACCCTGCAAATTCCAGGCAATCTGCAAATGATTTCCCTCTTCCCCACCCAAACATCCACTGCAAACTCCTACAATCGCCAGGCAGGCTTGCAGTGAAGGCATGGAAATAAAACCGTTCCCTACCTTTAACTTGAGTGTCATATTCAGCTATGATCTCCTTATCCTTTTTGAATTTTGCTGGCGACGTCATGTTTTCTTTTCCAAAAAGCTGAATAACCTCGAAAGAGATCCACCAGAACACGAGACAGAAAGGGAATTTTCGCTCCTCTCAGCACGATGCCTTGGCTTTCTGCTCGTCCTTCCCTCCCCCCCCCGCAAAAAGGGAAAAAAATCAAAAAATCAGTCCATGGAGAGAGGGTGTGAGAGGGAGCACAGCAGCAGGAAAATGCAGATGTTGAGATCAGCGGATGGAAGAGGCAGCAGTTTTGTCTCCCTGCACCAAATCCTTGAGCAGCAGCATCAGCCTGGCGAGATCCTGCAGCCCCAAAGGCTCTTCCTGATCCTCAATAGCACAGCCAGGGAGTGGAAGTCCTTCCGCACATGTTTTGTGTGGGTTTGGTTTGCCCTTTTTTTATTTTTTTTTCCTCTCTTCTCCTCTTTTTTTTTTATTTATTTCTTTTAATGGGCTCGGAGATGATGCAAATCAAATCCCAAACGAGAGCAGCAGCAGCAGAGGAGAAGCAGCTTTGGTTTGCTTGCCTGCAAATACAAAAAAATAACAATAATATATATATATATATATATATATTTAGAAAATTACTGCTCGCAGCCCAAATTTGTGACGGGAAGCAAAGCTGCCCTGACACCCTGACATTGCAAATCGTCCTTTGAGCAGAGCAGTGTGAGGCTGGAGCTGCAGCCGGGCAGGTGACCAGGGAACACGCCTACAGCGGGGACAGGGATGGCTGGGGCACAGCGGCTCCTTGGGGACAGCCCGGGGACAATGTGGGGTGCAGCTCCCGGGAACCGGGGGGAACCGGGGAGCGACTCCCGGGGGTGATTTGGGGTGCGGCTCCCGGGGGAGTAGGGGATGGTTTAGGGAGCAGGGATCCTTTGGGATGCGGCTCTGGTGGGAGCCGGGGTTGATGTGGGGTGCAGGTCCCAGGGGAGAATTTGGGGTTGATTTGGGGTTCAGGTCCCTGGAAAGAATTTGGGGTTGATTTGGGGTACAGGTCCCAGGGCAAAACTTGGGGTTTGGGTCCTGGGGGAGAATTTGGGGCTCGTTTGGGGTGCAGGTCCCTGGGAAGCATTTGGGGTTGATTTGGGGTACAGGTCCCAGGGCAAAACTTGGGGTTTGGGTCCTGGGGGAGAATTTGGGATTGATCTGGGGTGCAAATCCTGGGAGAGAATTTGGGGTTGATTTGGGGTGCAGATCCTGGGACAGAATTTGGGGTTGATTTGGGGTTCAGCTCCCAGGAGAGAATATGGGGTTGATTTGGGGTGCAGGTCCCAGGGCAAAATTTAGGGTTCAGGTCCTGGGGGAGAATTTGGGGCTCATTTGGGGTGCAGGTCCCGGGAGAGAATTTGGGGTTGATTTGGGGTGCAGATCCTGGGACAGAATTTGGGGTTGATTTGGGGTGCAGGTCCCAAGGAAGAATTTGGGGTTGATCTGGGGTGCAGATCCCAGGAGAGAATTTGGGGTTGATTTGGGGTGCAGGTCGCAGGGCAAAATTTGGGGTTCAGATCCTGGGGAGAATTTGGGGTTGATCTGGGATGCAGATCCTGGGAAAGAATTTCGGGTGCAGGTCCCAGGAGAGAATTTGGGGTTGATGTGGGATGCAGATCCTGGGAAAGAGGGCTCGGCCCCGCAGCCCCGGGCGCGCCCCCGCCGGGCGGCTCCGCCCGCAGCTTCTCCCTTTTCGGCTATTTTTTTTTTTTTTTTTTTTTTTCTGGGGGGTGATTTAGGGTTTCTTCCAGCGCCCGCTGCGCTGGGCAGGGCGGGACACAACTTTTCCCCCGTATTTCTTTTCGATTTGGATTTCTCCCCCCATTTTTTTGGGGAGGGGGAGGGCGCGCTGCCGCAGCCCCCGCGGGAGATGCGCGTACGGGAGGAAGAAATAAATAAACACGGCACCCGCCGGATCCGCATCCCGCCCGGGAAGAACAATGCGGGCGGCGGGGAGAGGAAGCGTGGGGGGGTCCCGAGGGGGGCCCGGGGCTGGGGGGACGCGGC